GACAGAATTTGCTTATTTATGACCTTGACCTTTGACCTTTTGACCTCAAAATCAATAGGCGTCTTCTTTAGTCCACAGGGAGTTGTTATGCTAAATTTCATTGCAAAAGCTCAAAGGGTTCTCGAGATATCGTGTGGAAACGAAAGCGTTACAGACAGACAGAAAGACGGACGGACGGACGGACGGACGGACAAACCCAAATTAATATCCCCCACTTTTCAAGCGGGGGACAAAAATGTTGTCAAATACAGTTACTTCAAGGTTTGGCGACATAATTATGACAACAATCTCTAATGAATAATACTTTTCTGATATGTTTTAGATAAATCTATACGCTTTGATATATCAAAGTTGAATTCCTAAATGTCGCACTAAAATAATGGGTAAAAATTAAGCCGCTAAAATTAAATATCACAGACAGTAGTGCAACATAACATATACGAAGACTTCGCGTTGACGACTAGATTTTATCAAAGAGGAAATTCAGCAAAATGTGAACGACTTGTTACATCAGATTTATTAATATAACGTATTGCATTTCATCGATGTCCGATTTATAAATAAAATAATTAAAATTGTTTTAGCACTAATTGCAGGCCCGTAGTGCATGTCTAGACAATGCTTTCCTCTTTTTCTGAGTGTGTGCTTTTCTTAGGACTCGGGACACTCTTTAAAAACCGTAGCTACGTGCCTGATTTTTATTCTCCTATATTAAGTATTTAAAAAAAAAATAATTTTAACAAGCTAATTCAGAGAATTCGTGTCCCCCGCTTAGGGAAAAAGTCGGCTCCCCCTGACTGAATTTGTAGAATTATTAAATGTATACATGTATACTGAAGGAAATAAAATACATGTATGTCAATATTCATACAAAGATTTGATTGCTTATTCTTTATTATGTGTATAGAAGATTTTTTTATAAGGAATATTATTTATCACACTGTAATGATGATTTTATATCCTCATAAATTTTTCATTTCACATGCTCAATACTATCATTTAGTAAAAAAAAAAAGTATTTACAAAAAAAAAAAAAAAAAAAATGAAAGGTTCGACAGAGATTCGATCCCGGGACCTCTCACATTTGAAGCGAGAGACATAACCACTAGACCACGGAGTCGCTTTATACAGACAGAAGTATATGCAGAACTGAAGTCACATACACGTATATATTCATGTTTCTCAAAATTTTACACAATCCATGGTGTTTGATTTATTTAGCTTTTATTAAACAGTTCTAATAGATGTAATAAGAACATAAAGTCCGCCGAGAACCTGTTTTATACGCAATAACTCTCCTCATGCCCCTGCGCTAAAAATAGCGCCATGTAATACTATAAATACTAATAAAACAAACGGGGCGGGGCACTTTGAGAGGGGCGAGAGACGTCCTAGGGAGTTTTGGTATAAAATTACATTGCATAAGCTCACAATCTTCTTGAAATATCGCCTGGAAATGATAGTATTACATACAGACAGAATGTATAAATTTACGACCTTGAACTTTGACCTTTTGACCTCAAAATCAATAGGGGTCTTCATTAGGCCACAGGGAGTTGTTATATAAAATTTCATTGCAATAGCTCAAATGGTTCTCGAGATATCGTGTGGAAACGAAAGTGTTTTTACAGACAGAATTTGCTTATTTATGACCTTGACCTTTGACCTTTTGACCTCAAAATCAATAGGGGTCTTCTTTAGTCCATAGGGAGTTGCTATGCTAAATTTCATTGCAAAAGCTCAAAGGGTTCTCGAGATATCGTGTGGAAACGAAAGCGTTACAGACAGACAGAAAGACGGACGGACGGACGGACGGACGGACGGACAAACCCAAATTAATATCCCCCACTTTTCAAGCGGGGGACAAAAATAAAAATCTAGAATTTCATGCTGTCGGTGATTGCAATGTTTTTTCTTAGAATAAACAAAAAGAAATTTGCAGTTTTTACAGTGTTATAAATCTCTATGTATACACTGAACCAAACTTCTAAGTGTTCACCTAACATTTCTCAAGTTTTAAAGAACAAATGCATTTAATTAATAATTTCTTTAATTCATGGTTAATGATGCATATTTAAGTTCGATGTTGCGTAGATTTCATGTAAGTATCTCGTCAGAATTTTTAAGCAAAGTGTCAAGGAAATGATGTACCCTCAAAATGAAAATTCACACAAAAAATCTCTATGGAATAAGACCACCACTCGCTCTAATTACTACGAGACAATTTTTACTGTTGGATACCATGTACCCCAGAATAGGAGATTTGGCCATTTGCTGCCACACCTACTGCATAGATCTTTCCAAACCGTTGAAATTGTGTGGAGGGGGGGGGGCTTTGACATTTCTGATTAAAATCCCAAATGTGTTCAATGAGATTCAGATCCGGGAATGTGACAGCGTGTCATCACACAGATGCCTTTTGGTCAATATCCTAGGGTGTTTAGCACGTAAGTGCACCGCCTTAAGAATGATTCAGACTGCTTGAGCTAGTATAAGACTGTCACAAGCACCAATTTCTTATCATTTTCATACGATTGAAATTGTTTGTTTTTATGTTTCTAAGATTGTTTCAGGACAATTTGACACTCTTTGATCCTGGTGTGATGCGAAATTTTGGCATCAGACGAAGATCAAGGTCACTTCCGGTTTGCTTAAATTTTGTCTAAAACTTTCAAATTGTGATAAATTGGCGATTATAAATGATGCAAAGCCTATAGAACAATGTGTTTGAATGGGTTTTGATACAGGTTGTTAATTTTTAAAAGTAATATCAAGGACAATTAAACACTAAAATAAAAGTGAGTAAAACGTGGTGCAAGGATGGTCCAGATATCAACATTTTAACGGCTCTCCCTTCATTATCAGTGGTCATTTTGCCAATGTTTTGTGTTTCTTAGTGAAACCAGTTTTCAAAATTTGATAATGATCACAAAAAGATGCTAATTACACAAAACGCACGCCGCAAAGTACAGATTTATTGTTTTAAAGCTTCGTTACGGAACATTGGTTTTCATCGGTGATATTTTATTTTCTTACTACAATTGTTGAGAAGACTCATTTGTTGTAATTATTTGAAAATATCATACTATTCTATAAAGTATTTTTAAAATAAATACATTTTTTAAAGTGAACACTTACAAGTTTTGTTAAGTGTATGCCTTTTTTAAATATTCTCAAAGAGCAACTTCATTTATTAAATGTATATGATTGTATAAATTATAAAAAAAAAATGTGTCTGTGACAGCACTAACTAATGAGCTTGTGTGTTATCCTTAAAAAGAAGGAGGACAAAATGCAAATTATTTCATTCATTTTATCAATCTACACATACTGTTAAAATATAGAGTATTTGCAGACGTGCGCTCGATTTTTTCCAATTGAATTATCAAAGAAAATATACAACTTTCTTGAAATTATGAATTTACAATATTTTGAGGTCATATTCAATGCATGGCATCACATCAGTCGAAAATATTAAATGGCTATATGTCTGCATAGTATGTTCTCCAAGCTAAGAACAATATTAAAGATATCGCTATCACAGTTTGCATTGAATAGTGGAAAAGTATTACCAAATATAGTGACTGTCCTTTGAAGCAACATTCATAATATTTTTATTTAGGGAAGAGCCTGCAAGATATCGTATGAATATTTAAAATAATTTATTTAAATCAGACTTTAATTTAGTGCAAAACGTTATAATTAGGATAAAATTCATTTTCTCCTTGTATGTCCTCATCTTAATGTAAAAAGATTTAAACTCACTAATATTTGTAAAATTTAATGTTAAAAATTTCAGTCTCTATTTTATGATAATCAATTTTATTGGATCATGACTGATGAAGATTGAAGACCCTGACGTCCTTAGATCAATTGCTAGATTCCATGGTAATCTACCTTAATTGAGGATATTTTGATATGCATATATGTAATTTTTTCCCAGTTTCTTGCCTTTGACTATAATATTATTATAACATATATACATTACATGTACGTATATTCAGTATATCTCTTATATACATTTTCATCAACTGCTCTTATTATATGTAAGATCATGTTTGTTCTATCAATTGGATCCCCCTCCTTCTTTTGATTGTAAATGATTTTTGCTCCTCCAAGGACTGATAAGATCTTGTATCATGTATAAATTGATGTTACAAGTCGTTCGAATTTTGTTGCATTTTTCTCTTTGTTTAAATCGAGTCGCCTAAGCGAAGTCGTCATATATGTTATATTGCACTTATGTCTGCGATATTTATTTTTAGCGGCATAATGTTTACACATTATTTTATATGCAACATTTAGGAATTCAATATGGATATATAAAAGCGTATAAATCGTCTAAAACATATCAGAAAAGTATTATTCATAAGAGATTATTGTCATAATTAAATCGTCAAACCTTGAAGTATTTGTATTTGACAACATTTTTTTATCATAATATTGCGTTTTAAAACAAGAACACGAGGCGGTTATACGTTTCTCAAAATGTTAAAAGCTTGTAATGCCCTGTTCACACGGAGAGTTTAATTTGAATTAAACATAAGGTTACTGCGCATTAGCTTCGCTTAGCATTTACATGGAGAATGTAATGCAAATTAGTTTAATTCGAATTAATTTACTGCGCATTAGATTACTTCGCATTAGCTCTGTGTGAACGCTAAGTGAAGCTAATTTGAATTAAATTTTAACGCATGCGTAAGGCCAGAATTTAGTCACAGGACACACGTTGGTGGCTAGTTATAGGTAACCGCGCTATATTTGGTTCAAAAATCAGGAAAAAGTATGATAATCACTAAATGTATACCTGTAGCCACTATGATTATCATATCAAATGGATGGCACTGCATACATGACGTGATTTACAAATGACGTAATTATAGCCTTACTGAATAGTCTTTTTGTATAATAAAATTTTAATTCGTATTAGTTTACTTTGCATTAATGTACTGCGAATTAAACTCTCCGTGTGAACAGGGCATTAGAATATATTTTTATACCGGATGAAAATGAAGAATGTGTTTCCTCAAAACTGTCACTATCAGAAATGCTACTATCAGGTGTAGTTGGTCGCTCAGAAAAGGCACTATCAGACGAGAATGATTGCAAGGATGCAAATGGTCGCTTAGTAAAGGTACTTTCAGACAAAGATGCATCTGGTTGCTCAGTAATGGTACTATCAGGCAAAGATGGTCGCTCAGTAAAGGTACTATCAGTCGATAATGCATTTAGTCGCTCAATAAAGGTACTTTCCGGCGAGGATAGTCGCTCAGTAACGGTACTATCAGACGAGGATGGTCGCTCAGTAAGGGTACTATCAGACGAGGATGGTCGCTCAGTAAGGGTACAATCAGATGAGGATGGTCGCTTAGTAAGGGTACTATCAGACGAGGATGGTCGCTCAGTAAGGGTACTATCAGATGAGGATGGTCGCTCAGTAAGGGTACTATCAGACGAGGATGGTCGCTCAGTAAGGGTACTATCAGATGAGGATGGTCGCTCAGTAAGGGTACTATCAGATGAGGATGGTCGCTCAGTAAGGGTACTATCCGATGAGGATGATCGCTCAGTGAAGGTACTATCAGACCTGTGTTGTTGCTCAGTAAAGGGGCTTTCAGGCGTGGTTGGTGGCTCATGATCAGTGTAGGTACTCTCAGTCGTATTTGGTCGCACAGTAAAAGCACATTCCGGCGTGTTCGATCGCTCAGTAAAGGTACTATCGAGGGAGTTTAGTCGCTCAGTAAGGGCACTTTTAGTCGTCTTTGGCCGCACAATACTTTCAGGCGTGGTTGGTCTTTCAGTAAAGGAACTTTCGAGCGAGTTTGGTCGCTCAGTAAGGGCACTTTCGGGCGTGTTTACTCGCACAGTTAAGACTTCCGGCGTATTCGGTCTCTCAGTAAAGGCATTTTTTGGCGTGATTAGTCGCTCAGTAATGGAACTTTCAGGTTTGTTTGATCGTTCACTAAAGGCACTTTCAGTCGTGTTTGATTGCACAGTGAAGATTCTTTCAGTCGTGTTTTGTCGCACAGTAAAGACGCTTTCAGGCGCGTTTTGTCGCTCAGTAAAGATATTTTCAGTCGTGTTTAGTTTCTCAGGCGTGTTAGATGGTAATGATCTTGTGTACTATTAAATAAAATCATATGTAAGGATATTTAACACCTGTCATCTGTGCTTGGATATGATTTTAAGAGTCAATTAAGTACGAGAACCGTTCAAAAATTACGCGGACAATTATTTACTCGTACAGAAGTCATATAGTTATGAAATTTTAGAATATGTATCTTAAAGATTCCAATAATCTCCTTAAATTATCGCTGTGTTGATAACGCTGATGCAGAGGCACGGAGCACGACCAAAACATTGAGACAAAAGCATGCGGAATCAAAAATTTAAGCCATTAATTTTAATTTTTTCGGCAATTTTCTCAAATATATCTTTATAATGTTCTATTATTATGTATTTAGATTTCTGACGTGATATTTAAATTGCTAACAGAAATATAGTGATTTTTCCCGATGCGATACCTGTGAAAATGACGTCACCTGAATTGACGGAGCACCACACTTTTGTTAAATTATGTGTGATGCTCGAGATTTCGCCAAAATAGATCCAAAATATGCAAAACAAAATGTGTAGTAAACTAGGGTATTCATGACATTTTCCATAATTAGCAAAATGGAATTATAGACCGTTAGCTATAGACCTCTGTCTGTAAAAAGGCTATACGGGAGGGCAGGAAGAAGATACATATGTAATAGACGAAAGCTTTATCCGGACTGTAAGGTATTTATCACAAGTACCGCACAGCTTTTAGTTTTGAAAAATTTGCTGCTCCATAGTACACGTCTGTCCTGATAAATCAACCAAAATTGATATGAAATCTTTAAGAGTGAGATTCTTTTTATATTATGTGTGACATCTTACCTGATTATTTCGTCAAATATTTTTACTGTGCAACAAGTCCGCGTTATTTTTGAACGGCCCTCGTACATGTCGGAAAAAAGAATATACGTATATTGAGAATGCAAAAAAAGTTTTACAGAAAACTAATTTCATCTTATATACATTTTTTGAAAACACTAATACTTTATCTATTCTAGTTCAAGTGAAATTCCTGTTACCCCAGGCTTTTGACGACTGGGTAATCCACCCATTGTATGCTGCTCCTCTGTTGAACTCCTTCACTTGAGTTTAATAAATCTGCAATCGAATCAGAGATTATAGAGTTCACCTTAACGGTTTTTGTATCTAAATAAGACAAAGTCCCACATTAAACTAATACTGCCATTATATTCAGAAGGGAGACGGGGTATTTTTTAGTGAGCTCATTGCTCACAGTACATCTAGTTTAAATTATCGTTTATTAAAGATTTCAAGAGATTCATATGAGAAAGTAAATTTTCATGTTTCTGAACAAATTTTAAAATCTATCGTAAACTAAACAGACCCTATGTTTTATATACAGGATACTGCCTACTATTGCCATAATGGCTATACTAAAGTAATTTTAGTTGGTTAAGCCTTTACACCTCATTTGAGGTAAGATTGATTGTAATTGATTGTATGTATTTGTTTATTTTGTCTTTATGTATGTTCGGCATGTTTCATGTTGTGGGAGTACTATTTTCTTTTATGTTTGTTTTATTTGAAAAAAGTTAAGAAGTCATAAGAACAAAGAAAAACGAGAAACAAAAAACGAGAAACAAAAAACGAAAGCAAAAAAAAAAAACAACAAGTGCATGAATCTGCTTTAATAAAGGAAGCTATCAAAAATCAAAATAAGGAATACATCATCTGTCCAGATCCAGTAGACCTGAGTTTCAGACCGATAGTTGGATGATCTAATGCATCTACACAGAGACTCAGTCTGGATGTTCTCTTGAAACCTCTCCGCAAAAAGGTAACTAGCTATGTTAGGGATTATCTCGACTTTCTAAACCACCTCCCCATTAATGTTAACGAAAATGCAAAACTGGTTTTGTTGCATGTAGTTCCTGTCCTTCGGATTCGGTGATATTGTCTTCTGTTGACAAGTCTGTTGTATGTTCCTCTGCCTCTATGTATGTAAACACTTTTCCGCCTACGTGTTACTTCACTTTTTCTTCCCTCATTACATGGCTATATTGGTGTCCATTTTCATTGCTCTCCAAGTCTCCAAACTGCTCACTGCTGAGTTCATGTAATACTGTACAGAAGCCCACCATCTGTTGTTGTACAAATCTGGGATCTCTCTGAGGATTCCTTAACTTCATTCTGCTTGCATCAGAGTGACCTTGATATGACCTTGAAATTGGAAATATCTCGTTTCTAGTAATTCTTTCCTCTTCTTGATATATCTCTCTCAAAAATTTTGAATCAAATATGCCTCTGGGAGGAACATCGTAAATCTGATTTTCAAATTTTATTACACGCTTAGTAATAAATACAGGTTTTTTGCATATGCGATATGGCTGACGTCACAATAGCCGTATCAGCCCTGCAGGGCTGATATGGATTTGCAGGGCTGATAACCTATATCAGCCCCGCAAATCCATATCAGCCCTCCAGGGCTGATACGGCTATTGTGACGTCAATATCACACCCTTAGTAAATTAAACCATAAAACAGTACTTGAGATCATACACAATTTTTGGTGGGTTCATATTCTCTTAATTCTAACTTTTTGAAAAGAAGGTTAATCTTAATTTACAGGTACATGTAATAGATTATTTTAAATTACGGATCGAGTGCTTTGAAATAGAAGTAGAAACAAACCCAAATCGTATGAGACAATAGATCATGTATATTTCTGTAAGAAGTCCATGCATGATTATTTACTTATTTTCTTCTCAACTTAATGTCTTCTGTATTTTATTACTAAGTATGTAATAAATATAATAAAACATACCCTTTTCCATATCACATCCTGTATCAGCCCTCGACCAATATCAGCCCTCGGGCCTTCGGCCCTCTGGCTGATATTGGTGTCTCGGGCTGATACAGGATGTGATATGGAAAAGGGTATGTATTATTCTCTATGTATCATAGGATGTGCAGTCCTCATCAATCCTGTTGAGTGGATAGGTCCAGATATAAGATATCCAACCTTTGATGCAACTGTGGTGGGTCCATTCCCTCTGACGATTTTGTCCCCAGTATGTTCCAGTAGTAGTCCGCACCAATGAGCATTGAAATATGGAACTATTCCTGTGTGCTAACCGGGTGTGCCAATATCAATCCTCTAAGGTATGCGAGTTCCCTGATATTGACGCCTGATCTGTTTGAGATTGTAGCTGCAGTCTTTGGAATAATAATGACCTCCATTGGAATTTTGTCTCCAGTTTGTGTTTCTACCTAAACCGTTGCTTTCTCAAGATGACGAATTTCACTATTCTTGTCTCCAAATGCTGAAATTCTTAGGGTAACGGATCCATCTGATTTGATATCAAGTTTCTGTACTAACCCTCTGTAATAAATGAATTTTGAGCCCCTTCATCAAGCAATATATTACAGCTGATTTCTTGATTTCCATACCAAATTGGTGCCACAGCAGTTTTCAGCAGCACTTCAGTGTTGGTTCTCACCTGTGTTGAAGAATGAAGCTGGAATGACTGTTGTCGTTGAAGTGGTTGAGACGAGTGTGTGCTCTGGGACTTTGTGACAGCTCTCTCTGGGGAACTTCTAGGTAATTGCAAATTTTTGCAGAAACTTGTGTGATGAGACAGCTTGGAATTCCTGCATTTGAAATTTGATTGACATTCACTTACTTTGTGATTTCCGAAGCAATTGAAGCAGACTCTCTTTTGTTTGATGATTGATATTCTCTTATCATTGTCATGGACATTATGACAATTGATTGGTGAATGATTTCCATTGCAGAATAAGCATTGCTTCACATAATTTTCCTGCTTGTTGCTCCTTTTATGACTTGACCAAGCAACAAAGTTAGCTGTTGGAATGAATTCCTGTGTTTCCTGTTTTGAGTGCATTGCCTGTCCAGCATTTTGAACACATAGCTCCTTCTTAATGGCTCTCCTGAGTGAATTCAGTTCCCATTGATCATCTCCTTTGTCCCGGGTAATGTTCTTCCGATTTTTTGCTGGTAGTTTGTTGTATAACACTTGAGTTAAAATTGTCCCATAGGTGGTTTCATCAGTTCCTAGAGCTTCTAATGCTCTAATGCAGCACTACATTTTGTCGAAGAAGTTACTCAAACAGTCAGGATTAGACTTTGGCAATGGTATGTCAATTAAACTTTGGGTATGGGCTTTGATGATTTTGTGATTTTGTCCGTATCTTTCAAATAAAACATCTATTTCTTGTCTGTAGTTGGTATTGGTCAAACTGAATCCTTGACACAGTGCGAAGGGCTTCCCCACATAGCAGCGATCGTAGATAGCTTAATTTTTCATTATTAGACAAACTGTTGTTCCCATGGATACTCGTCTCAAAACAATCCCAAAATGTTTGCCATTGAAGTGAATCTGCTGAAAAAAACTGGCAGGTTTAATTTTGGCAGTTTATGATTATGAATGTTAGGTTTTCTTATGTTGGATTCTAATGATTCAATGCCTGGAACGAACTGTGGTGCATTTACATTTAAATTCCTGGATTAAGATTCTCAGAAGCCTTTCCATTCTTTGTTAATTCTGCTAATTTTAGTGTCAAATCTAACATGTATTCATCTGAATCTTCGATCTCCATTTGAATCTCTTCTTCTTAGTCTAATTCTTGTAGAATTTCATGGTTGATTTTCTCTAATGTGTCCCACTTCTCCAGTACCTTGATCATTTCAGCTTTCCCATTTTCATCTTCATTCTCAGAAATTCTCCTCAAAATTTTGGTAATAACTCCACAATGGCCTGAACGCTGTGCCTTTAACTTGATCTCATTCATTTCTAGTTTGCTATTTCTTTCCCAATGGTCACGGCACCAAATGTTGAGTCAGATAGAATGAAAAACACCTCTAATCACGTTGACTTGTTTATCTAGACTGATTGCTCAAACATCGCATAACATTGACGTTACCATGACGTCATAATTAAGATGACGTCATAATAGAAATGATTACTAAATGTCACATGCACTTTAACGTCACATATAGGAAGATTTTCATCAACAGATGTAGACATGTTTAACACCGGCTGTTTCTTCTGCTTGTTAAATTTGGCTCGTGTTAAAATCTTCTTTAAGGAGGGGCTCTGCCGTTTACTTTTGATTAATTGAAATTCATTGAATACGTTTTTCCTCCTTAGTGTCATTCTCTAAAATTAGCATGTTGGTTTTGATGACTTGGAAAAATTCTTGGTTTTTTGAATTGTGTGCAGATACGTAGGGAATGAGATTTTTTTCGGGTTTTTCTTGTATCTGAAGTAGCTTGTTTCTGTAATGTAGTTTGGCGTTGTCTATTCCTTTTTCAATCAGTATGGTAGAATATAATGCCTTTGTTTAAATAAATCCCGTAATTCGTTTAGTCTGACATTTAAAATATCCTTGTCAGATATTATGGTACAGAGTCGCCTGGCTAAATTATATGGAATGTTGTTCCTGATGTGTTTTGGATGACAGGAATCGTAGAGAAGGTATTGCTTTGTGTCCATGACCTTGTAATATACGTAAGTTACGATTTTCAAATCTTTCTTTATGACCATTACATCTAAAAATGGTTATTTGTTTTCATCATCTTCATTGTAAATTTTAAGTTGGGGTTCATGTTGTTTAAAATATCATAGAAACTTTGTAATTCATCAGTAGATTTGGTCCAGATTATAAAGCAGTCATCCAAATATCGTTTCCAGGAATTTCGAATGAAAATTTTACAATCTACACCAAATTTTCTTCCATGGTTTTGTATGATTTTTCCTCAAGATATCCCAACGTAAGTGTGGCATATGTCGGGGCAACTTTGGTTCCCATAGCTGTTCCAAGTTTGTGTCTGTGGGCTGTTCCATCAAAGTTCAGAAAGTTATTTTCCAATATGAATTTTAAACTTTTAATTTTTAAACAAAAACTAGAATAAACGTTTTTGAAAAACGAAGTTGTAGTAATTCTGGAAATTCATCAATCCAATGTTCAATGGCTTCTGGTCCTAGTTCATGTGGAATGTTGGAATATAAACTGGTCACGTCAAATGATATGAGTGTTGAATCATTTGGCACATCGTCTGGTAGTGATTTTAAAAAATCAATAGTATCCTTTATATAGCTTTTTACCTTTGATACATAT